GTATATGTGTGGTCCATGATGTGGTGTGTGATGTATGTGTGTGTGGTGTGGCATATGGTATGTATGTATGGTGTGAACATGTGTGTGTGGTGTAGTGTGTTTGGGATGGTGGATGTGTGATATGAGTATATACATGTGTGATATATGTTTGCATATGTATATAGTGTATGTATTTGTGGTGCATGTGATGTGTTTGTGTGTGTACTGTGTGTGTGGTGTGTGTGTGTGGTGTATGTGTATGTATGTAGTATGTATGTGTGTGGTGTATGTGTATGTATGCTGTTTGTGTGTGCATGGTGTATGTATGTGTGGTGTGTATGTGATATGTGTGTGTGTAGTATGTGTGTGGTGTGTGTGGGGGTGTGATATGTGTGTGGGTATAATGTGTATGTGTGGTATTGTGTGGTGTGTATGTGAGTGGTGTGTGTGTGTATTTTAAGTGTGTGCTGTGTGTGAGGTGTACAAAAGTGTGTGATGTGTGTGTGGTATTGTGGGATATGTGTATGATGTGTGTGATGTATGTGTGGTGTATGTATATGGTATGTATGGTGTGTGTGTGTGTGTGTGTGTGTGTGCATGTTGAGCTGGGGTCAGTGAGTAAGGGTGTTCACTGAGCAAGCATGTGAACATAACTTCAAATCCCCAAGAAGCTAAGTAAATATTGAAGTGCAGCCGTATATGCACTTAGAGCCCCAGTACTACATGGAAGTGGAGGCAGGGGGATCACTGGGGCTACCCACAGCCCAGCTCCAGGTACACTAAGACATTGTCTGCAGGAAGCAAGGCAGAGAGTGACAGAAGAGGATACACAACTTCCCTCTCTGGTCAGCAGAAGCATAAACCTGCGGACCCAAATATGTACACATCACAGTGCACCTGTTCCCTCCCCACCCTCCCCACCCTCCCCACCCTCCCCACCCTTCCCTCTCCCTTTAGACTTTCCTCTCTCTTTCCTGTGCATATACACAAACATGGCATTACCACCATGAGACAGGAAATAATATAACTTCAACTGCATTTGCTCTCAGTGTTTGTTAATCCCGCAAAGAGATAATCTCAATTCAAAATAATGACTAATTTGATACTTTGATTTTTTAAAAAAAATTAAATTTGTGTTAATGTTGTAGTTTTTGCTTAATGCCTTTACAATCATTTATTATAATTTAATAATGACCCGAAATTAGACTGAGTTAAGACTTTGATTAGAGCAATAATCTTTAAAACGACCCATGTGGTACCTTTCTTTTACATATATGACTGCATATCTTACTTAGCTCACCTACTTAAAAATAGTTAGCTTCTGAAGTATAAGCTAGATATAAAACTATATGAATACAATCATAAACATACAGGTGAATAATATCAATATTTAATCTTTAATTATAGACATGGTCTATGATTCATTTTAATGAATACTCCTTTTGTTCAAAAATACTGTTTGTCACTCAACATTCCAAACTAAATCTAACCAATAGAAATATAAACTGCATAAAAATTCTACAGTTTTTTTTCCTAACAAATCATTTGAGCACCCGTCACCAGTTTTTTGCACGAACAATGGTTATTCTAGTTCCTGACCTCGGAGATGTATGCATATTCCTGACCGAGTACGGGTACATGTGACTAGGCGCATGTGTGCGTAGATCTAGGACAGTAGTTGGAAAGTGTGATGTTTAGGGGCTACTATATACACAGCATGGAATGCAACGAATGTCTTCCCATGAGCTTTAACCGGAAACTGAACATGTATCGATCTTTCTCCTTCTAAGGAGCCATCAAGTTCTAATGAAGAGGGATCCTGAGATTCTGAAAACCAGCTGAGGTCCAGCCCCACGAGGAGCTGTTGTACGACTCTGCAGGAAGTCACCTCTCTGGGCCTCAGTGACCTCCTGTGCACAGTTAAAGTCTAGAATCAGGGAACCATCAAGACCGCTCTAGCTCTGAGTGTCTCCCTCCCATCTGATGAGCATTCAGCTGAATATAACCTCGCATAACAGAGTACCACCACAGCACAGTACAAAGCTTGCTCAGGTCTTCTCTAGTATAAGAAAATGAAGATTACTTCGTCATATTTCTTGCTAAGAAATCCTTCCTACAGATCTCTCCCATTCCTGGAAAATGGTTGATTCTCTGAAAAATAAAAAGGTAAACGTTAACATTTAATGAACCAATGAATATACTTGTATACTGTAACTCAGTTAGATATATCCAAGACTTGTGTTCTAATAAATTGGGGATTATTAATATAAAGCATTTAAAATTAAATGGCTAATGGCTAGTGAAATTAAAAAAATATGATAATCAGTGGGTAAAGCTGTAAAATTTTGAACAAATCTGGAAAAGACCTTACAAAGGTAATAGAGTTCTAATGTTCTGTGTTGGGAGAGTGACAATTGAACATCCATACTGCTTTTAGAATACTAGACACAGATACAGTCATTGATGACGTGGGACTTAACATATTTACTCCATCTGTCCTACTATGTATTCTTAGAATCTAAGCAGTGAAGAGGATGACGGGAGGGAGGGGTCAGGGAGGGAGGGGAGGGGGGGAAAGGAAGGGAGAGGGAGGGAGGAGGGAAGGGTGTGGGAAGGCCCGCGTCATC